CATATGAAAACTCCTGCCACTTCATCTTGTGCTATCCATCCCCCGTGTCATTTTGTACTATGTGTCTTTTTCTGACCAGAACTTTTAGGTAGAAGTTAGAGGTACGCAACCACTGTGACTATGGAAGATTAAGCTAGACCTGTGTGGCTGAAGCAGCGATGGCGCTATCAGACACTTTCTTTCTAAAGAGCCTTCATAAATGGTATGCTCGGTAATGCAGAGGATCAAGGGACAACAGCTTGGGTTCCATCTACCAGACTGGAGTTTAGAGAACATACATCTGCCCTTAAAGCAGAATGAAAGCTTCCCCTGTCTGCAGAGCAGTCTGTGGAGCAGGCCTAAGGGAGAATAAGCACTGCAACGTTCCAGGTATTGAGAAAGGTGCTTTTCTGGCTCTTAGCGCATTTTAATTTATAATGATAAACCTATAAACCTTGAGAACAATATAACCCTTAACAGCTGAGTTAGAGTGAGCACTGTAGCTCCAGAATTTCAATTCAATTCCAGTAGACTTTCGATTGCTGAATGGCCACCTTCAGTAATGGTTGATGTTTCCTCTCAGTTTCCATAACTGAGTCATTTTCACTTCTTGGTGCTCCACAGAGGAGGGACATACCCAGGAGCATCTTGCTCTTCTTTGCTTTTAAAACACAGTGTATGCCTGTTCTTGGGCACTGGTGAGACTGCACCTTGAATATTGTGTTCACTTTTGGGCCCCTCACTACAAAAAAGACGTTGAGGTGCTGGAGTGTGTCCAGGGAAGGGCAGTGCGGCTGGTGAGGGGTCTGGAGCACAAGTCTGATGAGGAGCAGCTGAGGGAACTGGGGTTGTTCAGCCTCGAGAAGAAGAGGCGGAGGGGAGACCTTATCACCCTCTACAACTGCCTGACAGGAGGTTGTAGTGAGGTGGGTGTTGGTCTCTTCTCCTTGGTAACAAGTGGTAGGATGAGAGGAAATGGCCTCAAGTTGTGCCAGGGCAGGTTTAGGTAGGATATTAGGAAAAATTTTTTTCACCAAAAGTGTTGTCAAGCATTGGAACGGGCTGCCCAGGGAAGTGGTGGAGTCCCCATCCCTGGAAGTATTTAAAAGATGGGTAGATGTGGTGCTTGGGGACATGGTTTAGTGGTGGACTTCACAGTGCTAGGTTAGTGGTTGGATATGATGATCTTAAAGGTCTTTTCCAACCTAAAAGATTCTGTAATTCTATAGGGATGGGAACTGTTTCTTTTGAAGCAGATATAGAACGCTAAATGGCGTGAGTTTGTTACTCAGCAGTTTCAGGAGAAAAGGAGTAGAGGAGGAGTGTCTTCAGGTTACAATGAGTCCCATTTATCTTCCTCACAAAGAGGGGAGCCCTCACACGTTACGTGAAAGTCTCTTAACTGGGGATTTCAGGTCATCTTAACGCTGTCTGTGTAGTCAACAAAGAAAGAGGCAGCAGGGAGTTCAGCTCACCTATGATTTGAACTGACCTCTGGGAGGGACTTTCTTCATCGACTCAAAAGTACTGATTTGAACTGCTTTATCCCTGGGAGTGGGCATGTTTTAAAGCTGTATAGCTTAGCCAGCCCAAGTCTCCATAGGTGCCAACCTCAGCACCAGTCCCTATGGGCTGACATCAGTGCATGGGGGAGGCCTAGAACATAGCAGATAGTAATCACTGGCTTCATTTTAGTTAGCGCATGGAACGTGTATTGATGGGGAATGATTTGAGACACATGTAAAGCTAGGACGATAACCCATAGTTTCATGTCCTGTGGTCTGGTAAAAAACGCCATTGTCGTTTCGTAGATTTTTTTTTCAAGTTAGCTTTCAATCAAGGTATGCTTTTTCTGTCACCTTCCCAACTGCAGCACCTTTCCCTAATGTGTGGAGAGTAAACTAGCTCAGTGGAACCAAGAACCTCTCCAGGTATTTCGGCATTGATGGGCTAACCTGGCATACTGTGATAAAGTCCGTTCTCATTACTTGCCACCGTCATCAGCCAGTGTTTGTTTCTCTTCTTAAACACCAAGCTCAGAAAAGAATTGAAGCACATGCTTAATTCCTGCCCACTCCCTCAAGGATGTAGTTTTAGTATGTGCTCAAGTGATCCTTAGGTAAACATCCTTTGGTACTTGTCTCTCAGTTCATGTGTATATAGTTGGCAATATTAAATTTGAAAGATGGCCCAAGTCTGAATCTAAATAAAAATCACTTGAAGTACGAGCAAAGCCAGTTCCATGTTACCAGGCACAAGCCTTTCAGGCCTCCCATGTGCTGTGCAGTACCGCTTGATGTCTGGCAACTGATGTGCTAATAATTGCCTGTCAGTCAATGAATCCTTTAGGGTAAGATGTGAGGAATTTCGGTACCTTGTAAATAAGATTGGTCTTCTCCCTTCTGCTTCTGTTTATATTCTGCAGTATGTAGTTGATGAGTAGAGTCTGTGTGAATATACTTTTCTGTGGCAGGAGTGAAACACAGAAAAGGCCATTTGGTTAATGCAAGTTATTTGTTCCTCACCTCCATGAAATCAGAGAAAGTCACTTCGCATCATTGCCATGACCCATCAGCATGACACGTGTCTCGATTGAGTGGCGATGGGGGAGAGAAGACCTTCCATTTTCATTTCTTCACGGCTTACTGACTTTCTCATAGCAGAACGAGTTTGTTTCCCACCTTTACCAGTATAACACCCAATGTGTTGATCTGTTAGTTGTAACTAGGCCCCAGAATGTGCTAACATAATGGCATTTTGAGGCCCTTTTGTAATATAGCCCCTTTCTTACACCTAGATTTAATTTTCACTTGTTCAGCGTATTGGTAGATGGGGTCTAACTGAGCTCTTGCTCATAGGTGGTGATGGTTGGATTTGGTCACTGCTCATGTCCGCATTGATACCAAAAAGGAGGATGTAGCATTTCAACTTGGTGCAAAATAACTTTGAGAATGTCAGTGATGTATTGGTGTGCGAGTCTTTAATCAATGGGGTGTATACTCAATGCTGTGAGCCACCAGGCACATTTTTTTGTGATACTTTCCATAATGCTTTTCCCAAGTCGTGTCTTCCAAGTGTAGCTTGGGAAGTCTTTTTAATTAATTGTCCTTTTGATATTTAATAGTTTGAAATACTTGAGTTGTACTGATAAAAGTTCCAGTACATCAGAATTTAAATCTAGGATTATAAATAGGTAGGTAGATATGTCGATATATCTATCTATCACAGGTAGGTGCTATTTAACTTTTAGACTCTAATGCCTGTGAACTTCTCACAGAGGTGCAAATCATTTATTCGCTGTCGTATGACAGGCATAGTGCCAGAATTTCTTTGTTTCCACGTTTGAGGTGATACCACTTTTCTTATGTCTTTTGTAATGTAGAGTTAAGTACTTTTAACCTTACAACCTTGCTATTAATCTGTTTCACTATTTCTCAATGATGAATTCCATTTCTTTGAAAACACTGTATACAGTTCTGTGCTAGTGTCAATAAAATTGACATTTGTGTAACAAGCTGTGGCATTTTCTCAAATTTCACTGAACATTGATTTAGTGTGAAACTGTTGGTAAATCCTTTCTTGCTAGCTGTAATAATACAGACCTTTATTTCAGACAAATACTGCTTTGACTTTGATTTATAATAGGCTACATAACTGTCATGATTACGTAAACTGATAACTGTATTGTTTTTTTCCTTCTCTTTTCAAAGGAATTAAATACAGACATGAACTGGTTTGGAATTGGAAAACATTCATGTTCTAGCAATAAATCTTGAGTTCTTCCAGAAAATAAATAGGTTTTACTATTGGCCTAATTATATTTATTGGTGTTTACTTGGAGTATCTCAGCTGTGTTGTAGCAACAGGAACACTTAACCTATCATATTCTAGGGAGGACATAAACACATGACAGTAAAATGTATTTGACCTTAATTCTATACGGTGATGTATGTGTTTTACATTTAATAGTAGACAGCCTATTAGCTGTGGTGCTCAAGAGCTTGTCATGTTTTTTTGGTTGGATTTTAATGTATGATGCCAAAATGATACAGACTGTAAATGTTCTTCCACATGACAGATCCATCTTCTAAAACAGGTTTAGATTTTCAGAGGTTTGGAGGAGGGGATAACTGGGAGAATGCTGGGCATTTTTGGCAAACGCTTTCCTTTGTGCAGTCAGTAGTCTGGCTGCCTCCCAGAAGACAAAGTGCTAATTTCAGTAATATTTAATGTAGTGTATGTGAATCCATGGAAGTGTAATTAATTGTCTAATTCTTTAATATTTTTAATCCAGAATTAAATGGGACTTTATATCTGTGATAATCTAAAGTTGTCATGCTTTGTGCATTAAAAGTATTGCTTTTCTTATGTAAATGTAATGCTAGCATTTCCATCCCAAACAATCAGAGGAGCATGGAAAGACCTACAAGGTATAATATACATACTTGTGTTGTGTGTAGAAATTGGGGAACTAGTAGTTTTCTCCCTTCTTGTTAGAGCTGACTGGTCTTAGCAGTAACACTGCTGTAGAAAGTCATCGCTTCTTTTTCTCTAGACTTCCACTAGATAAATTTGTTCTAACGTGTGTCCCGTAGCTCCATATGAAGTACTGATTTGAGTCTTTGAAGTTCTACTTTGCTAGAAAGAATGGCACTCCTAGGGTGACTCCCTTATTGTTGTATTTATTCTCTTCCATAGAGTGGATCACAATGGTGAAAAATACGGTGTTAATGTGATGTTTAGCGGTAAATATTGCAGCTCAGCCATGTATGCCTTGACCCCTTCCCTACAGAGACACTAATTTCAGCCAGTTGCATCAGCTAAAAGAATGCTCCAGTCCCTTGGTTAATGCAAGTGGATGCAGTTCCTCTGGCTTCACGTCCATTTGGACTAGTTTGAGGACCCTGATGGCTGTGTCTTGTAGTGTAATTTCACATGCTGCAACTTCAGGTTGTAACTTTTTGGTACTTTCTAAAGAGAGCCTGTCCTAACTGATTTCTCTTTTACCGTTTTTTTAGCAGGTTCTCTGACTGGCAGCCCTCACCTTTCAGAGCTTTCCATCAATTCCCAAGGAGGACCATCGGTGGCAAATATGTCTTTATCTCCAAACTTGAGCCCTGATGCCAAGCAGTCATCTCCCTTGATCAGCCCTTTGCTGAATGACCCAACATGCATCAGGACTGACGATGAGGAAGAAGTCAAAAGAAAGGTAAGGCAGAGGCAGTTGGCCTTGGCTCTCTTCTCCACATTGTGTTGCCACTACTGCTGTTTGTCAATGTGGCCAATATCTAGACCCCCTGCAGCTTCCTCATCATAGATCCACACAGATAACTTGAGTTGGGTCACCTGATACCTGCTGTCTTCTGTCACGGTTGCATCCCAGAGCATCACTGTGCTCCTGAGGCCAAACTCACTGTTTGGAGCGGGTCAGGCCAGAACCACAGAACTGCTGTAGCTGAGGGCTCAGTGCCCTGGATTCATCCTCCTGAACAGAGGTGCAGGAGTTAGGGGCTCCGGCTCCTCCTTAAGCAGCAGAGAGAAGATAAGTAGCTCTGTGTCCCTAAGGTTAATGTGGGATAAATCTGGGCCAGTCCTGTTGGTTGCAACCTTAAGAACTTATTTTGATGGGGTCTCCTGTAGATCTAGCTTGTTTTTAAGGAGTGGAGTTTGGTAGCTTGTTGTAACAAAACAGTCAACGCCACTGTATTACTGGAGGGAGGATTTCCAGGTGACAGCAGGAAAAGGAACAGCATTGAGCCTGTACAGGAGTGTCCAACCCAGGCTCGCCAGTCTGTTTCTGCTGGGAGCACCACTGGGAGCCATTTGGTTGTGGAAGTAGAAAAGCTCTCTTTGAGCCACAGCCTGCAGCATTCAGCTGGGAGTGTTTGGCTCAGCCCCATCATTGCAGCAAAGCCATAAGGGAGCATCGCATCCAAAACTGCTTTTCGAAGACAGAAGTGATTCTGTCTGAGCCAGCATGTTCTGGGTATCTGCTGGCTTGTCCCTCCTGTGATGCAGGGCAAGAGAGGGTTGCTCTTGTCCTTCTGTCACCTGCCTTTTCTCCTGAGCTGGGAGCATCTCAGGAGGAAGAAGGTAGGAACTCAGATGCCTTTACTGGAAAGTGGGAGCATGTGTAAGGGAAGATCTCTTTTCTCACCCTGCGTGGTTAGTTAGCAAGGTATGTGTGAGAGAAATCTGAGAAGATGAAAAGCCAAGAATCAGTTAGCAGACTGACGATTCTCTGTGCCAGTCCAAGTTACAGCAGCCACTGACTGCTGTAGCTTATACCAGCTGGTGATGGTTCCTGTGGGGTTGTATATTGGCTGGGAAATGCCCGCACAGTCTCCCCTCGCATCCTTTCCTAGTGCATCCTCTGCATCAGGGAGGAAATGTAGAAGCAAAAGATTTGTGAATGTTTTGCTCTTCCTTTTTGCTTCCTGAGCAATGCAGAGCAAGGTCAGTTGGGATCCTTTGGCTCTTCAGAATTAAGAGGTCAAAACTACTTTTGCCTGTTGGATAACACAAGAGGATTTGGGGTTTTTTACCTGAAATTTGAAATCTCTAGCTTACCCCGGAATTCTTGCCCTCTTCCACCGTTAGGTTGTCCAGCCGCACTGGGAAAGTCATAAAGATTTGATTTTTATTTTTTTTTTAAGAGTATTTTACTGTGGATTCTTACCCTGACAATGAAACTTACAATAATCAGACACTAATTTTTGTCATTTTGTCAAATTTGATTCAAATGGTTGTCCAGCCTGCAAAGGATTTCTTTGTGAACTTCAGAATGCATCCTGCTCTGGATGTGTGGAATAAGCTGAAAGGAACATCAGCACTCCAAAGCTGTAGAAATCACCTTGGCAGGAAAAAAAAGTCTCTCAAGAGCCCCGAGAAAGTGCTTGTTGTCTTGGGCTTGGAAGGAAGGATTGTTTTCAGGGTTTCAGGTCTTAGGAACATTCAAGCATGAGTCACAGTAACCACAGGCAAGGGTCACTAGTTTGTGACCCTCTTGGTGATTGTTGTCTGCAGTTTTTTCCTACAGAAAGCAGCTCCATAAAAGCAGATGAAAACCTAATGTGTTTGCAATTTGCAGAGATTCCCCACTGAGAAAGCTTACTTCATTGCTAAAGAAGTAGCAACCACGGAACGAACATACCTGAAGGACCTTGAAGTCATCACATTGGTATGTTTACTTGGGCATTACTCATGAAACATGTGAAGCTCTAGTCAGCGGTAGTATTTCATCTGCTCCATTTAACATCTTAGCTGTTCCATGCTACTTTTATATTCTGCATTATAGGTATTCTCTGCAGCGCACAGCAGTACAGCTCTAGGGAGGTAATAACACAAAAAGCAGAAAGTAGAGATTTTCACTGTGGTTAGTAACGTGCACTGTGAGACGATATCAGGTTGAGGAACTTGGGACACAGTTCGGTTCTTTTTTTCTTGCTCTCATACTTTGTGGTTGTAATTACTAAAAATGCCTGTGGGTTTTCAATGACTTCTCTTAAAACTGAAGTAGCTCCCTAGGGGGACATAAAAATGTTTTCTCCTGGATTAAGTGCCCTCCATTTAACATGAAATACTTGGAGTACCTATTTGAATGATTCTGATTTTTCAGTAAGTGAAACTGTCTGTTAAACAAGTCATTAATCAGTAGCATCTGATCAGACCGTGATTGTTAAAATCACCAAGGCAAATAAATGCCTTCTTTGCACACACACCAACAGTCTTGTTTAACTCCCAAGAGTAATGTGCACAAGATTTGGCCTTAAGTAACAATTGTCTGTAAAAGTGCGCTTGATCCAAAGCCTCTCGTGCTGTATTTCAGCAGGGCTGCCAGCTCCAGACCTCCCAGCTCTTTAATCGCCCCGTGTGTGAAACTCTGCAAGGTGCATTGCCACCTCCTGCATCAAGTGTTGTGGTAAGGAGGACATGCTGCAGGGAGGAGTCTGTTGGTACCAGCTGGAAACCAGGGAGAGACACCTTCTCCCCAGCTTCTCCTCTGTTCCAGGAGCCCACATGGCAGATGCTGCTGATCTGGTGCCAGCTTAGACGTCGCCAGTGTAGGCTGGAGCAGCATGGTTGTGGCAGGCAGCGAGATAGCTGTGGCTCCACTGCCTGCTTACCCCGGTTTTCTGAGAACCTTGGCTTTCAGGCCAATGAGGACAGAGGCCAGGTTCTGTGGGATGGTGGTCACTGCTGCAGTCTCAACAGCAGATAACGCTGTTTTCATCTTCTATGTCACCCAGCGGCTGCAGAAACAGAAAGTTTTAGCTCTTTAGAGCTCAGCCTCATTTCCCGCCCCGGCCTTTATTCGTCTGGTAGGCAAGTTTGAATTTGCTGTGTCACCAAGAGGCATCCAGCTGGCTCTAAGATAATCATCAGGCCCATCGGCTATGCCCCACAGATGTCTGGCCCAGGAGACCACTGAGAGTGAACAAGTAGCCAGGATCATTGGAAAAGGTAGAAGGAAAAGGAAAAGGCTAGTGAAACACTGGAACGGGTTGCCCAGAGAGGTGGTGGTGGAGGCCCCATCCCAGGAAACATTCAAGACCAGGTTGGACAGGGTTCTGAGCAACCTGATCCAGTTAAAGGTGTCCGTGCTCACTGCCGGGGGGTTGGGCTAGATGACCTCTAGGGGTCCCTTCCAACCCAAAACATTCCATGATTCTGTGATTCTAAGGAATGAGTGTCGTGCATGAATTTTGAGACTTGGTAGGTGTGCAGTTCTTCAATCTTAGCTCTGCTCAGTGCAGAGATAAAGTGGGGGAGAGGGAGGCTTGGGAGGGGTCTCCCTTTGTCCCAGGTCTGGGTCAGCTCCAGCTGATGCAGTGCCAATCAAGAGTATGTATGGTCCCAACAGCCTTCTAGGCACTTCTGGAAGTCAGCTATAGATATCTGGAACCCCTTAGGGCAGCGAGGAGGGAGTAGTGTTACCATGTTGAAGATAATAGTCTGTGCCACCTTGGAGCAAAACTAAGCAGGAGCCTGTGGCAGTCTTAACAGTGTTTGGCGCTGACCCTCCTATTTTCTGCTACTAGCGTCTCGTCTTGGAAGTGCAAAGCACCGACCTTCTAACTTGTTCACTTTGCAAAGTGTGCGGGTGTTCTCTATCTGCACACAGCAGCATGGGCTTGAGTGCTTACTGTACCAACTCCCGTCAGAGGGATTTCAGACAGAACTCAGCAAAAGAAAATGCAGAGCATATTTTTTGGTTTTACTGGAATCTGTGCATGTGTTGCAAGTATTGCAATACTCTTTCTCTTGCACCTACAGCATTTGCAAATTCAGTTTGTATTGACCAACCAGTTTGGACTGAAAAGAATCTTCCAAGATGTGCTCAGTAATGGCAAAGGGGAAGGGAGTTTCTGTTTAGGCTATGCAGAGCCTGACTGCTGATAAGAGCACCACTTCATCATGTAGGACTGTCAGGGGTAGCCTGGGTTGTATTCCTGGTGCCAGCTAAATAAGGTCCTTACTGGGTTAGGTGCATTTGGGTTGGGTGTATAGAGAAAGCAAATCATCATACCTGCTGCATTCCACCCCCCAATAATTTTGCTTCTTTTTTTCTTTGTAGTGGTTTCAGAACGCAGTGAGTAAAGAGGATTGCATGCCCGAAACACTGAAAAATCTCATTTTCTCCAACTTCGAACCTTTGCACAAATTTCACAGTGGTTTTCTCAAGGAAATTGAGCAGAGACTTGCTCTGTGGTAAGATTGTTTTTTGTTATTTAGCTCTGTTATTTCATGCAGTTTAGCATTTTTGCATTCCCTTTTTGCAAACTCTTTCTGATCTACTGTAGTGATTCATTTGTGAAAGTCACAGATGTTGGTTATTAACAGACTGGGGATACTGAATCATGCTTTGGTCGTGTCTGCTTGGCAAACTCTGTTGTTCGGGTATCTCAGTCAGGTACAGGCATATGCAAATGAGATTATAATTCTGGATGAAGCTTTCTCTTGCCAAATGTCAGGGGTTTTATATGGCAACTCTTCTGAAAAACATGTTGCAAGCAAGGCTCATCAGTAATAAAGAGGGAGCAGCGAAGGACCGAGTCCGGTTTCTGTGCTGGGGGGGATTTCGGAGGCCAGCTTCCCATTCTGCAGCACCACAGCTTTGGCACTCTCAGGGTCTGCAGTGCACTCTACAAATTGACAGACTGTTGGAAGAGGACACTGGGCTTAAAAATTATCTATCCTTACCATAATAGTGACGGTAAAACATGGCATTTTTGTGAAATAGCTATGAAGTGAGTAATTCTTCCCTGGCAGGACTCCTAACTCGGTTCATTTGACAACTGATATCTGAGCAGAGGCGCGCACAGAAGCCCTCTCCTTGCTCTGATTAGACCTGTCTGGACTAGATTGCCTTGCTCTGTGTAGGCATTTTTTGGTAGTTTATCTTTGGCGCTGGGAGCCCAGCTTTTCCTTCTCAGTTAGAAAAGTGACGATGGAAAATCACGGGAAAGCAGAGCAGGCAGACCTGATGAGTGCTAATCGGTTTAATGCCTCTCTAACTAATTAATGAAAACAAAAGCAAAACACAGTGCTAAGAGCCTGTGAGTTTAGCTCTTGCGATGCGATGGGCGAGGTCGTTGAATGAGAGCCCAGCACGTTGCAGGTTAGTGCTACCCAAACCCACCCTGCACAGTTCCAGAATGAGTGGGTATTTTCTGGGGAGAGGGGGATGTGATACTGCCTCTCAGAGCTGAAATCCTCGCCCAAGACTCTGTGGCTGATGGTTGACATGAGGTTACTCCTAAGGCAACGTGCTGCACAGGAGCTCTGCCTGTATCTCCTTTTTTTTTTTTTCATCGGGCTGCTACTGTTTTAATCCAGTCAGGATTGTTTCTGGTGTTAATTGCTTTCCAGTAAGGAACATCTATTGCAGATACTCCAAAAAGGCTCTTTCAGATGTTAAAAAATAGCAATTATTTCTCCAACCATGGTGTAACATTGTTTCTCCAACCATGGTGTAGGATTAACAAAAAATAGCAATTATTTCTCCAACCATGGTGTAGGATTAATAGTACTTGGGGTTAATCCCCAACTAGTTGGGGTTACGGGTGAATGGTGAGAAAAAGAAAATTTAAACAGTTAATAAAGGGCCAAGTTCCACTCTCTGTCAGACCAGTGTAACCTAGGTGAGCTTGCTGGGTGCCGATTCCTGGGGCACATATTGACATAGAGATTCCCCTTATATCCTTCTGGTTGGTGGTGGCGTTACAGGGGGATGCCAACCTCCCGTCCAGATGTTTTTCAGAACTTGGATGATGCTGCAATAACAGGCTGCTGTGGAAAGGTGGCATTGTGGTAGGTGGAGGGAGGTATGTTAAAAGAAAAAAGAAACATTTAGGCTTTTCGACTTTCCATGTTTTTATTTTGTTTCTCCAAGTTAGCTTTTTTTAATGCTGAGTAAGCCTTTTGTTTTCCCGCTTTTCCTTGTGTCCCAAGGCTATGGTTTCACAGAGCGCTAAACCTCAGTTTAAGGCTCCTAACATTGTATTTAAGCTGCAGCTATTCTGTGATATAAAGTGCTGATCTGCTATGAAGTTACTTTGCGATCCAAATTTGTTCAAAAATATTCTGCTGAGGTAACTGTGTCCCAGCTGGACAACTCGTTCTGACTTTGTCAGCTCAGCTATTGCATGTCCTTCCAGTTAGCGTAAAGCCACTGGGAATTCTCTGTCAGATGCTCTGATTCATTTGACGGAAATGCAGTCATGTTCCTGCCCCTGGTCTGCGTCCAGTTTGCAACCAACAGCATGGGTTTACCTAATGTAATACTGCTGTTGTAGATGGTGTTTGTTTTTCAAGTTCTGGAAGATTTGAATAGGTGCCTTAGGAAGGGAGGCGGATTTGCTGGCAGGTGTTATTTTGGAGGTGTTGTGTTTTTATATAATGCCACAGATGCTGAGATAAGCTGCAAGCAATAAACTCTATCCTACAGAGATTACTGTTTAATTAAAACGGTGAGTGACAAAGCCAAACAGCCCCTCAGCACGTAGAAGAAGAAGCTGGTGGCAATGTGGTAGGGAATTTCTTCAGCAGTGTGGTCAAGGTCGCTGAGCTCAATGTCTGGGCCGCCACGGTTGTATCTATATCTTTGGCTCCGGGGGGCTTTAAGGCTGGTGGGCTTGGGCTGTGTTCACCACCAGCATCTACGTCAGCTGCGTAGCTCCTCGCCGGCCTGGCTGTGACAGTGGCACCGCTGCAGGCAGGATTCAAGCCAACTCATTTAAACCTGACTCTTCTATGCCAGCTCTTTTTAATTTCCAGGCAGGTGGAAAAGGGTGGAAGGTGGGACGCTTGTCCTGAGACGTGAGCGTGCTCTGCATTTGTCAGAGGGTGGCGTGTCCTACGAAAAAAGAGCCTTTGAGTGAAAGGGCTGTGGACTTCATGAAGCTACTGGGAGCCCCTAGCTACCCAGGTGTGTTGTGGGAGCTTGTCTTGGAGGAAGAACCTCCCGTGACCGGCCATCTGCGTTCCCCTAGTCAGTAGGATGCTGGGTTTTATCAACTTAAAGTGCAGTTCAGCCTGCTCGCCCTGCCGAGACATCAGTGTGTTTGTCTAAGGTTTGTTTCAAACCTTCGTGCTGTGTGTTGGAAGCTCTTATGGGAGGCCATTCCCAGGTCTCTTAGGACCTGGATCGTGTTGAAGTTGATGCTCTGCAAGAAAGCTGTGAGGAGAGAGCAAGGCCAGGGGAGGCTCACGTGTAATGATTGTTAGATGGCTCTGTGCTTTTAATTTGTTAAAACATCTATAGGCTTTTAGTATATCAAAGAACCTCAGGTTTGTGCACATTATTAAAAGCATTTCTGGCTTGCTCGAAGGCTTCTGAACTGTTTGAGCCTGCCATCAGAGGCAGGCTGTTTGCTACTGAACATCTTAAGGGCTGGTATCCTTTTCACCCAGTTATAGATTCTGGCAGGACTGATTTGTTTCTTTACACAATTCCTCTGTTTTTCTCTTTAATACTGCACTTCCTAAGAGCAGCACATCTCAGTGTCTAGTGCCTAAGTGAGAAAGTTTTTTAACACGACGTGAATTGACGCTGACACCAATGGCCAACTGCAGAATATAGGAAGTTGCTGCATTTTTCACAGCCAGAGTTTCTTTCTGTCCACGAAACTGAGCAGATTCATGGGGATTTTGTTGCACAGCGTCCTAAGATCAGTCATACCATGCTCTGATCGATGTTTCTGCCCTGTCTGTGCCGTTGCTGGGTCAGTGAAGCAGCCCATGAATCCCATCGGTTGTCCCGACTGTGCCGAGCCCGCTGTTCACAAGACCAACAGTGTTCCTGGGACCAAGTGAAAATGCCCCTCTAGAGGCCCTGTGGTTCGAGGAGAGGAATGACCTTTGGTGGATGCAGGCAAGGACACTTGCCTTTAGGTGCAAGGCCAGGAGTTCTCAACCATTTCTGCCTGGAGGAAACATGGGAGGAATATCCCAATGACTTAAAGCTGGCTTCGATTTCTCCGGGCCTGAGAGACTTTATGGCAAGGAGGAAGAGGTGTGGGCAGTGCAGGCAGAGCATGGCATGCTCCATTAACATCTGGCCAGCTCAATCCGAGAAGTCAGCTGAGTTGTGCTCTTTCATTTATCTAAGCTGTTTAATAGGCTATTCATTTGGGCCACAAGCACCATTCTGCAGCCAAAAAAATTGAGCTCATCTTCCCACACCCCTTTAAATGTTTGTATTACAAATTTCCAAGCATTTCTGCAAATTCTGATGGAAGGTGGCAAATGGAGAACCATAGATTTCCCCCCTTGGTTGACTGCTAAACACTGCAGAGAGCAATGCTAGGGCAAGCCAGGATAGCCATTTCTGCCCTAGGAAGCCGTATCAGGTGGCGTGAATCTGCATTTTGGGCTTTATCCATGTGCTAGGAAGAAAAAGCATTACGTACTTTCCAGAAGTGCAGGCAGCCTTACTTTCTCCCAGGGAAACCAGTAATTTGACTCTCAGTTCCCAGGCACTTCTGAGGAAAGCTGCTCCTCAGTACGACCAGATGTGGCTGAGAAATGTGCGGCTGGGAATTTGCAAAAAAAAAAAAAAAAAAAAAATCTTAGCATATGAAAGGAGGAGGCTCAATCAGGCTTCATGGAAGCCAGTTTGAAAACCTGTAATAAAAAGCACTCAGGGAGGTGTAGGAAGATGAGCTAAATGTTGATTTATTAACCATTTTTTTTGTTTAGGAAGTAGTACTCGCGGTCAGGAAGAACAGCCTGATAAACAGTTTATATAAAACAAGCCAGCAGTCCTTGTCTGCCTTCTCAAACACACCAGTGCTGACTGTTCAGCTGGGTCTGCGTGCCTGTTGAAGAGGGATGAAGAGGACGGTTTCAAAAGTGTCTTTGTCTCATGAGATGAAGTATGTATTTGGAGTATAAACCTCTGAGTCATACAGTGTGGATAAAGATGTGGCCAAAGATGTTAGGGGGGGCTTGGTGCCCATGCATTGTGCTTGCTGTTGAGAGGACAGTTGGCATTAAGTTGCTTTTGGGTACTTCTGGGGAGTAGAGCCATGCTACACCCAAATGAATTTGAAGTGGTGGGAGAGAAATAGCTTGTCCAGGATCCATTAGTCACACCCAGAGCCACGTTACATCCATCTCTGCGGCTCTCCCAGGTGCGATGCACCCAGCATCGCCTCTGAGGAGGTGCCACGGCAAGGTACGGAATGTTGTTGTGTTTTCAGTATATTTCCACACGATGGTGTTCCTTGCTCTGATCTCTTACCATTTAAAAGCATTACTGATGCATGCTTGCTGTGGATTGGGTTTCTCCCACAACAGGGCTCGCCAGCCCAAAGTCTCCCCTAAGGCTTGGTGGGACTCTGGGAAGCTCTGGTAGCTTCAGCAATCCATTGCTGGCACTCTGAGCAGCATCTTGTCCACCACTTACTGCTGGAAAGGAGAGCTGCAGTGGCGGCTGGAAAGGGCTGGGCAATAAGAGGCACTGCCTAATAGCAGGGTGTGAGCAAGGAAAAGGGTGTTTTGCTTTTATCGACGACTTCTTTTCCAGTTACAAACCGTTCCTTTTATTTAAAAGGCAGGTGTAATGGGGAATGCTTAAGGTATTTCTTAATATTAGAACTGTAGTTAATTATACTCTTCAAAAGCCAAAAGTGTCTTACATGCTCAAAGGCAAGCTATGATACCCAGGAGGGAGATGCTGTTCCTGAGCATGGAAGGTAAATACCATTTGCTGCAATTTTTTTTTTTTTTTTTGCTGCAGTTGAAGGGCTGCAATCAAAGTTTTTTATGTTCACCTGGGGAAGAAAAAAAATCTCTGTTGAGATATCTTTCTCTCCTGCTTTGTCTTCCCACCATCCCCATCAAATTTCTGCTCCTTCTGCTACCATTCCTGGATGATTGAGGGTAGTATGGGCTGACTCGAGATTTCTTTCCATTCATTTTTTCAATTATGTACACTGAGAAGTTTATGTAATTCATAGCTGCTCACGTAGTCCCTGTAAGTTGAGCTGGTGGGTGTTTTTAGTAATATATAAGGTAGCGTCTGAGTTTCTTATCAGGTATGAAAGTTGGTCTCCTCCTCTTTGCTTGAAATTCTACGCTTTCATTACTGTAAAAAGAAAGGGACTATTTGGAGAAAAATGGGAAATGACCTTACTATAGAATAAAATCTCCACTGTTCATAGAACCATAGAATCTCCACTATTCAGCATGATTTTCAGTGGCTTTAGACCTCCCCACACAACGTCAGTGGAGTGATGGCACATTATGTCTTGGGAAAGCAGCTCCTACATCTTCTGTGGAGCTGGGGATCATAGATCAGCTCCTGATGAAAATTCGGAAGAACCTTGTCCCTAAGCTCTGTCCCTCATCACTGGCATACAGCTACCATGTTCAAACAGCGACCCATGAAAACAAGGAGTAAGAAGAAGAATTTGGCCATCAATGCACAACAAATGAGCAGCTTCTTCCAACCCCCCCGCAAGCTGAGCGTTGTTATTCAAACCATACACCGCAGGGAGAGCTCTCTCCTCTGCTGCTGTGCTTTGGGCTGCTGAAGCAGTAAGGCACCATCTGATGGATCAGGTGTTTGGTTTCTGTTTTAATACTCTGTGTATTTGGATGCTCTTTTCTTGGGGTTTCTTTTCTTCTTCTTTACTTGGGATTTGCATGTTGAGGAGCTGGGGAAGAGGGCAGTGTAGTGTAGGGGTTGCTGTGGAGTCCCGGCAGAGAACTGGGGTGGAGAGGAGGATGGGGTCGAGGAGGTAGATGTGAAGCCATCGTGTTACCATGTTTCATGGAAATAGAGAGCCAACTCAGGGAGAATGGCTGGAACAAGGAGCAATACGTGGCCATCACATTTCTGGATTTTCTTAGGGTTTTAATTTTTTTTCCAGCAGTACACATCTGCCTGCAGCACTGGTTATCTCCATTGGCCTGGGCTGAGGGCTCTGATGCCATTCAGCTCTTCACTCTTCAGCCAGCAGCTGGAGAGAGGCTGTTGCTTTTGGGGAACCCCTCCTCTTCCTTCTTTGTCACTCTGCCAAGATGCAGAGTAAGATCTGAAAGCCCTCAAACTGTTTTTTTTTTAAAAACAAAAGCCTCAGACCAGTCTGTGGCCAAAGCCAATGAAGGGGGAATGTTCCTGATGTTTTGCGTGTGACTGATGTGATGCGATGCTGTGCAAGCAGCCGCTGCCAGCTGTGCTCAAGAGGGGCCAAGGGGGTCAACTTTTAGGAAAAAGGACCTGACTGCTCAATGAACGACTGCACTAAATATCAGCTGAAGTTCACAAAGTCAGTGGAAGCACTCGGTATGACTTCAGTAGGCTTGGAGGTCAGCCTTCAAGTAGCTAGCTAGTAAATAAGAAATTTGCAACGCGTATTCCAGCCAACCTGTATTGTAGCCTTTCTATTTAGAAATAGCAGTCTGTAATGATGTACTTACTATTTATCTTGGTGGTAAATCGGAAAGGTACCAAACTGCTGAAGTCCATTAGATTAAATCAAGTAGAGAGACATAAAAAAGGATCCAGGCAATGCCAGAGAGTTAGAGAATAACACATAAAGCAAAAATCCTTCTAGAGATAATTACCGAATACCGTGTCGTTTACTGGCAGCAGCACAGATTCATCTGGCTTTGACATTTCTGGGATTGTGTGCAACGGCGCAGCGGGAACCATTTGGGATGGGATGCTGCGTGCTGGCTGCGCGGGCGGAGGGCGACTTTCCCTTGCTTCCTGCCGGCGCCGTGCTACTGCCTTGGACTTCAAATGGTTGTGGTTTTCAGCTGGGGGTGCTTTGATACGCACCACTTTGAGCAGAGCTTTAGTGGCTGGGAAGTTTTATTTACAACCTCTTGGAGGAAATCTGAGTGGGGAGAGCTGCTGGATGGATAGGACATGGGGGAAGGGAAGGGCAGGGGGAAGATGACTTGGCTGACAGAGGCTTCCTGGAGAGAGAAATTGGACTTTTATCCTCAGGTGATGTGGAGACTGTAGTCCTGTAACGTCCGTCTGTACCTCTGCTGCTCCCTGCAATATAGACCTTTTCCTGGGCATGTTTTGACCATGGCAGCATTTTTATAATGTGGTGCTTTTCCAAAACTGGTGATGCTAATTGAAGTTACCATTGACACAACCCAACTTCCTACGCCGGTATAACCTTTGGATACAGAAATAATATAAAAAAAAAAATCTTTGTTGAAAACTGCGTTTTTCTTGCTTAGATAGGCATGTGAGTGCCTGGGAGACTTAACACAATAGGAAATAATTAAAGACAGCCTATGAAACTGGATATTGTTCAAATGAACATGGAGCAATCCCTTGTTTACCAGCTGAGTGTCTGTCTGTTGAAGGATAAAATAGGAGATGTTACTGTGTAGTATTCATAAGCTGCACCCTCCACATTTCCCAGTTAGAAAAGCATGCACAGCCTGAATGTAACCATGTTTAACTTTACAAAACAAAATATATGTCTGAAGATGCATCTATTCGTGTAATAATATGGATTTATAAAAAAAAATAATGTATGTGTCTTACCTGTATATTCCTAACAACAGCTGCATCCTCTATGCTTTGGTGAGCGTGGGACCTCTCTGGCTAAATCGCTGGTACTAAGGAACGGAGAGATTTACCACCTGGTTGTGCACTTACTCCTTCACTGCACACAGAATATTCTTAAAAGTGTGAACTTTTCACAAGTGGGTGAAAAACAACACATCCATTTAGCAGTAACACAAACCAGAGTTCCTGGTGTCCTTGGGTTCATTTAGAGCTTGATGAGATTTCTGTCCTCTTCCACGGTGGTGCATTTCTTTGGCTGAATCGCAGTTGCTCACACCAGGACTGGATCTGTCTACCAGCACTCAGATGTGGGAGTTGAACTGAACTTTAAGAATTGAGGACAGCACATAAAAAGCCATGCTGCGGGAACTCGGATGCAGCATTGGAAGTTGGAAAGGGAAGGGGGACAGTGCTTCTCCCCACACCCCCCTTAGTGATTTTCTTTTGAAAACCTAACTTGGTTGGAACAGATCTGTAACAGTTAGGTTCTTATATTCATGATTTTTTTCCTCCTGTGTGTCTTCTGAAAGATGTGTTTGAATTCAGAGTGTGGTATCCCTGCCTGTCTCGCACATGGGTTTAGAAGCAGGAGTATCTTTTTCATCAGGAGCTGGGTTTCTCCCAAATGGAGCACCCACCCAAGTGCAGCTGGCTGGGTGGGAGGGAGCAGTTTGCATTTTTAATACCAAAAGTGACACGCTGAAAGAAAATTCC